GTTATATACAAATATTACCTAAAATAAATTCAGCTACTGCATCTGGCGTTGTTGTACAACCATTTAAAAATTCTACTAAAACTAAAATTAGAGAACAATAAGATGCCACACAAATCGGCCTGGCTAAGTCTCCATGTGATACTATGTAATATATTTAGTTTAAGAATTTATAGGCAATGTTTATTGTAGCTGGGCTCAAAGTGTTAATGCTAGCTTATTTTAATAAACAGCACTGTAATATGCAAAACTGGGGTTGCAAGAGAGCATTTTAGGGTGGCACAAGCCACCCCTGTAGATCTGCCCCTGTTTATCCAGACTGTTTGAGACAGCAAGCTGATGACATTCACCTTTGATTTTTACCTGTTTAATCGCATCTTCCACTTTCCTCATGCTGCTCTTACTTTTAGCGTACAGCAATGTAGAGTAGAGAGGAGGGTAAGGTTTGTGTGCATTTCCCCCCTTTTAAATGATGTGTAGCAGTAAACAGTAGATCTTTAATACAGATGTGCAGAGCTGACTGGGTTTGATTTATTAAAACAGTCCTGAGAGGCCAGAAATGCTACAGGATAAAATTAAGACAAAAAACAAATCGATAAAATAAAAAGTATATAGTGGGTTTTTTTTAAAAAAGTAATCCAAGTCACATGTATATATCCTTTACATAAAAAAGGCAGATCAAAAAATTACAGAACAGTACAAGACTGGCAAATAATTAGGGGAGACCGGGGATAGTTGTAACGTGGGTCAGTTGTAACACTTCCAATTTCTCCAATCAGGGCTAAGTTTCAAATGATGTGACTCATCCTGTGCATGCCCAACTCAGTTCTGCTATCACGTGAAAAATCAGCACATTTTGTCAAACACAGACAATTTAACACGAAAAAAAGTAATTTGTATGCCAAAAAGTAAGTTTTTCTACTTTATTTCGATTTGTAATAGCATTATCTGCTTTGCAGTTAAACCCATCAAACTTAAATTATGTTATTTGTATGTCTATGGGGATATATTCTGTGTAGGTCTTTAGTGCTAATGTTTTAGCCGTTGGCTGTAATGTTAGCTAGTTCATGGCTATAGGAGTCTGGGTCAGTTGTAACAATAATGCAGATGTTACAACTTACCACACTATTACTTTAACTTATATTAAACAAGTTGGGGCAACGACATCAGCAGAGAGAGGTTCACTGGTCACATTTGTATATGTGGTTAATGCCAGTGGCAACACAATTCCTCCATTATGCAGACCACTGTGTCAGAGATGGACCAGTAGGAAGTACTGGTAGTGGAAATAAATCAGGATGGGTGCAAGAAACAGATTTCCTCATCTTTCTGAAGCACTTTGCAAACCACACCAAGGTAAGCCAGGATAAAAAGTAATGGAATTGCGATGCTGGTGAACAACTACATTTTTTCAGCTTCATTGTTATGTTCAAAATTGGTGCAAGAGTTGTAGGTTATAATGCCCACTGAGCCAATGAGGCCAAACTCAAGGAAGACCAACCAAAATTAATGAAATATCCAGTTGCAGAAAATTCCATAATTTGTCTTTTTTGGGGGGTTGGTATATGTTCAAATGCTAGATTTCTGCATTCTGTCACACACACACACACAGCTATATAAATGGATGTAAGTGCATTCATGTGTTGAATAAACAAAGATTACATGTTAATATTTTGTTAGTACCCTTATTTCATTGTGTTACATTTTACCCCAGGATATGTTACAACTAACCCAGACTATGGGGTTAATTGTAACATTTCACTCTTTGTGTTTGAGACCATACCATGCAATGGGTAATTGTGCTGCAGAGAAAATAGCTGCACTATTTAATAGCAGAGACATGTAAATACTTTGCATTACATTTTGAATCCACTACCTTAAAAGAGCTCCAATTTACAGACAGAAATGTCAAAAATATTACAACTATCCCCGGTCTCCCCTACTTTAGATTTTATGAAAACAAATAAGGAATAAAATGCAGGAAATTTAAAGGGTGGAAAATAGCTTTCTTTGATGCTGAAATAGAGTTGTCTCCCTGTCAATAAAACAAGAATATTATTAGATGCATAAAAATATGTATTGGTTATGACAAAATAAGAGCTCTGAGCCGTCACACTGTTTTTAATAACGAGATGAGAAAGCAGATGCTGCCCTCTGCAGGCAGCTTAGAGCTTCAGCAGTAAGTTCAAACTAAGCAAGGCACAAAGTCTGGAGCCATTCTTCATTTCTTTGTTTTCATAGAAAAATAGGAAATAGGTGCAGCGTTTTATTAAACATTGTAAAACATATATTGGAACAAATAGCACAAAAAAACCAAAAGAAAGCAAAAAAAAACAACTTGTTTTCAGTTCTGAACCTGAATGAATTCAAAGCCAGTATTTGGCTGTTGACCTGTTTATTCTTCAGAACACCCTGAAGCCCTTTGGGCAGGCTGGCATGTTTTTGTGTGGTCCTCATGAAGAGTTCTCCAGCCTTCTCAAAGGACATGCAAAGCTCTTCTTTGCCTTTTGTTCTTTTCTCTGCCAAGATGATCCAGCACCGCTTCAACAGTGCTGATATCCAGGGAAGCCAGTCAATGACTGATAGTGTTCTATTGTGCGTTTGTGTCCAGGTATGGTTTAACTGTATTGGCAGTGTTAGGGATCATTGTCATGCTGAAAAATGAAGCTGTTGCCAATCAAATGTTTTCCACATGGTATTAAATGGTGGATCAAAATCAGATTTTTCTGCGTTCAGAATTTCATCAGGATCCCCAACGCCACTGGCTGTAATTTAGCCAAAGGCCATGGAAGAGCCTCCACCCTTGTTTTACTGATTGTTGTTTCCTGACCCCCTCCATACATATTCATGACAATTTTAGTCACAAATGTCAGTTACTCCCAAAGAACTGATGTGCAAGATGGCATACCTTGGCCTTTCCTTCCTTAAAACAGCTTCTTGGCAGCCACTCTTCCACTGAGACCATTACTGATGAGGCTTCAGTGAACAATAGATGAAAGAATTGAAGTTCCTGTGTCAAGTTCTTGCCGGATATTTTCCTCTTTCTTAAGGTCATGACTTTCAGGTACTGTTCATCTTTTGTAGTTCGTGTTTTCAGGCCTGCCACTTCTTCTCATCTTGCATTTGTCCAGTTTCCTCACATTTTAACAACACACTACACACCATGGTGAAACATGCTAAGTGTTCAGCTAATAGCTCTTTGGGAATTGCTTTGTTGGTGTAAAAATATTGTTTTATGACTGTTAGACTTTGGTTATTGTTGGTATTTATTGCTCGAATGATTCTGAAGGGAGTGTTAAAGGGACTTTAAAAAAATCCTCTAAAAACCACCAAGAACAGAACTGAAAATGAATGGAAAATTCAGACAATGTATAAAGGAAAACGATGAAAGATCCTCAGAAAGCCTGCTATTGCTAAGCACTTTAAAAGATTACAGGAAAGACTTTTGTGATGTTCCGTGTCCCAGTAACTAGTCTTGGTAGTCGGAGATTGAACCACCAGGGTCTCGTACCTTGGCAGCCTCCCAGCAGGTTATGGATGGAGAGGCCATGTAGAAAGACTTTGGGACTGCCTCGACGAAATTCTGGCAAACCCTCAGGTGACTCCGGTGGGAAAACCTGTCCTCTACCTGGACTGTGCGGGTGGCGCGCTGCTGACTTCGACTGAGGATATTGTCAGGCGGTGAAAGGAATACCTCGAGGACCTCCTTAATCACACTGGCAGATCTACCATAGAGGAAGCAGAGTCTGGGCACGAGGAGAACATCATCTATAGGGGAATCACACTCCTAAGCCACTTCTGGAATATCTATGCCAGGGTGCTAGAGTTGTCTGCTAGTCAAACCTGCGATACAGAAGGAATAATGGGGTTTTTGTCCCAGCCACAGAACACCAGACCAGCTCTTTACCCTCTGGAGGATACTTGAGAGTATGCCCAACAAGTCTACACACGTTTTGTGGTCTCTTGGAGTGTCCTGTGCTTGCTTCCTCGGGAGTAAGGGGTGTTATTCTAATAAAACTATTGCAAGAGCTTGGTCCGCATAGCCAACAATAAGATTTGGTGCAAGGCTTCCACTTGGATGGCCTAAGAGTCTCCTCTGCTTTTGATGTGGTTCTGTTGACTTCATCAGGTGGTCACCTCCAGCTCACACTGTTTCCAGCCGAGTGGGAAGCGGCAGGAATGAGACTCAGCACCTCCTAGTCTGAGGCCATGGTCCTCAAGGTATCCAATGGTCCAGTTGAGGTATGTCCTTACCCTTACCCTGTGGTCGTGAGCTTTGGGCAATGACTGCAAGAACGACACCACGGATACATACGGCGGAAATGATCTTTTTCCATGGATAGCCTCTCACGTCTCATAGGGTGAGACGTTGGACCATCCAGGAGGGGCACAGAGGAGAGCTGCTCCTCCACATCAAAAGTAGCCAGCTGAGGTGGTTCAGGCATTATCCTCCACAGCAAGTCCAATATTTACTGAAGAGTTAAAATCCTGCTCTTGGACTGGTCTCACATTTTCAAGGTTTTTTTGGGTTTTTAAAAAAAAATTATCAATATTGTCGTATCCCAAACAGATTACCAACCTTCAACATTTTACAGTTACAATAGACGGCTAAAAAAAAAAAAAAAAAAAAAAAAAAAAAATCCTGTTGATGTGTTTGACTTTATGTCACATATTTGATCAACAAGCTTTCACGTGTTGGGCAATGACCGCAAGAACGAAAGAAATAAAAGCACAAGATGGGATCAGAGTCTACACAGCTGACTGGTAATCTTATTGCTGAGCTCCAGTTTGCAATTGACTGGTGTTTGATTGCAGATGCATTTAAGAGCATCTACTGTGAGCCACAGCGGGTTGTTAATTCGGCTCAATCACTGAACAAAACGAGACAGGCACAGCTCGTCCCAGTTTACATGTTTACTTAACCATCAGGCGTTTCACGTCAGAGTTAAATGAAAGGAGGAAAATTAAGCTTGCAGCACCATCAAAAACCCAAGAACAACATGGCCCTGGAAAGGCATATTTTATTTCATTTGTCAATATACTTCAGGAAACAATATACAAAGCAATGATGTGGTCACCTTTTACTGAATGTGTGGTGCAGTTCACTTATCAATAGATAGTTATGGTGGGAGAAATAAACAGGCCTTTGCAACTGAGGACCCTGCTCTTCAACAGTGGGAAGCAAACAAACGAGAGGGGAGCAGGGCAGGGGAGGACGGGGACGTGCCAGAAAATCGAGTGTGTGTGTCACATGCTTGTTGAAGATAATCTTGTTGGGATTAAAAAACAGAAAGTGGGTTCAACAGGTGAATGAGGCTTAAGACTTTCAACAAGGCACTAGCAAATGAACCAAACCTAACACTCCAAGGAAATAACCAGTGCTCGCTTTAGTTTAACATGTTTATTACAATACATACATTTCACATTTGACCTCTTGTTACCCTGCACTAACTCAAGAGGTGCTCCACATACACACCCACCCGCCTGCCTCTGACCCGCTCGCAGTTGTGATACATCTCCTAACCTTGGGTGCTTTTGGGAATAGAGAAAAAACCCAAACAAAAAAAACAAACAAAACAAGTGTGGATATTGTCATGATTTAGCTCTCATCACAACAACTCTTTATAAATAAACCCTTTTCTTATGTTTACTTAAAACTGCACTGCTATTAGCAACTGTACAAAGGAATGAACCAGTGATGACACCTGAATGTAAAAAACAGGAACAGAAACAGTGGGAGGGTGCGGGAGAAAAAAAAAACGGAGGGTTGTGATGTCTCAGGAGGAGGTGAGGCAGGGCAGAGGCCAGGGGAGTGGAGCGGGAATGGTCCAAAGCAGCACGCCATCATGTCTTTTTCCCCCCCCCCCATCACTCACTCATCACACCATCAGGCACTGTTTATTTTCAGACTGGGAAATGCAGGGCCACCAGAAAGCTGCAAAACGAATCAGTGAACCACTGGAAGCACAGACCCACACAGAGGGGATGTCTGCCACGCCTAAGTACATGTTACAGTTCACCACGAGAGGGTGGAAGGAAGAGAATCTAGACAGAGTAGATTTGAAGAAAAAAAAAAAATTTAAAAATTAAAATAAAACCCAAACTACATCGACGACAGTGTGTTATGCTTTATGCTAGGCTTCTGTGTAAATAAATGCCTTCAAACATCCTCCTCTGTTTCCACGCAGGTCACACATGCTCAGTGGTTCAGTGATCTATGAACTGACAAAATGAAGCTGTAAAGTCTGCTGACCAGTTAACATGAAGGAAAAGGCTAGCTAATGAATGTAGCCGCCTAGGCGTTGATTAGTCTGGATGTCAAAAGCTTTGATAGGCATGGCTTTCCATGGCTTCAATCTACAAAACATATTTACAACATAGATAATAACATCTACAAGAAATCTACACCCCCTCCCCGTCCACCCGCCAGCCACGGGTTTTTACAAAACAAAGTCTTGTAAATTGCCCTCCCCCCTTCCCCTCATCCTCCCACAACAGCTCTTCATTTCTCCCTCTTGGATTCCCAGCCCAACGGTCCAAAGCAAACCTGACTACAGCTCCTGTGTGTGTGTGTGTGTGTGTGTGTGTGTGTGTGTGTGTGTGTGTGTGTGTGTGTGTTTAGACTGGGCTCAAGAGGAATTGAAATTGAACAACCCGTTCTCCCTCCAGCTTCCGACTATGTGCAATGGGTCTCCCCACCCCCACCCGTCCCCACTCTTCTCCGACACCTGCTCCGACTTGCAAATCAGAAGTTCTCAGACCATAAAAGAATTCTGATTCTTCAGCTTTTCAAGTTCTTTGATTTGCTGTCTCAGAAACAGTATCCTGTGGGGAAAAGGCAGAGAACAATGAGTTATGTGCAGGTGTGTTTTACATCATTAACAGGGACTCTTCTAAAACACAGACCCTCACCTCTGCTCACGCAATGTTGCTTGTATTTCACAGACTCTGACCAAAGACCGCAGGTTTTTGAGCTCGGTGCAGTTCTCGGACATGCAGATGCTGCCCATGGTGTGAGCTTCTTCACGTAGTCTTGATGCCTGTGAGGGTTAAGATGAAAATCATTTGAACGATGCTTTCATGAAGATGTAGCCAAAACCTGTGGAAATGTTAGTGGTACAGACCTGCTTCTCTGCGTGTTCGGCGGGCCATCCCTGCACGTGTTTGATAAGGTTCTCGTTGAAGTGGGCAGCCAAGGTGGGGGTGAAGGAGCAGGAGGGTCGGGCTGCTGAGGGGGCAGGGGGAGCGGAGGCCGAGTTGGAGGCGTTGCTGCTGCTGGAGGCGACGTGGTTGGGACCTGGGGAGGGACTCCTCTGACTGCTGAAGTGAGCACAGTGTTGGGGAGAATGTGAGTGATGTGCATGAACAAACTGGCCTGTGACAATCATACAGCAGCCCTCTGAGGTAGAATGCTGAACATGATAACGTGAGTTTCACAAGATGTCTCAGTATTATAGTTACAATCGATAGATCAACATAGTACGGTGATCTAGAAGAAAGCTGGCACATTAATGGAACAATATACTGTTTGTGTGTGCAGTGTGAGATTTTCAGGCCTTTGTTTGACACGTGTGAGCAGCATGCAGGCAGCTGACTGATGTCAGGCCAGATCTATCTGGTTCTGTGCTGATTTGCAACAGCCTGATGGTCAGCTGTCCTGGAATGTGATCAAGTGTTTGCAAGGGTCCAAGTACAACAAATGTAATTGTTCTGCTTTGTGTTAATGTGCACTTTAAATACGCAACACAATAAACACAAAGCACACTGACTCGAGCAAGAAACACTGTCAACAGCCTGTAATTTGAACTTGCTAACTCATAATGCTAGTACAGTAGTTCCCAAAGTGTGGGTTGGGGCCTCCTTGGTGGGCCGTGATAAAAAACAGAAGTACAGCCTGAATTCAGTCTGACAGATTGGCCAACTCTGTTGTTGTTTTAAGGAAAAGAAGCAGCTTGACATGGCATAATAGTAACTCTACCCAAATAGGCATTTAAAGCCACTGCAATTTACTTTGGGTAATTTGTACAAAAATAGCTCTCTAGAGTGATGTGAAGCAGTACTTCTGATGGAGTGAGTGATGGATCTCCCCCCTCCTAAAAAACTGAATTCGTCCACTTGATTGCCTGATTCATGCGAGACTGAAATGAAAATATGGTTTCAAGACCCCTGAGATACATATTCTGCACAAAAATGGGATAAATGCTGAACTATATTTACTTTGCTGTGCTGCACTCTAAACTCAGTATGTTACCATGGATATACGTCAGCGTTAATTTATAACAATGTCAGATATAACAGAAGGTTTTGGATTAAGCTTAAGCCCCTTTTCCATTAGCACCAACTCGGATCTCATATTCTGACTTTTGGAATTGTATTTTGAATAATATCTGCGAGAGTCTGCATGTACAAGAGTTAAGCTCAGAGGAAAGTCATGTTCAAACCTGTTCACACTAACACTAAATACACTTCACGCAGTAATGAACACCTCCAATAAAATGACTGTTGCACAAAGTAAATCAAGACCTAGAAATGAATCAAAGAGCAACTCACTGTTCCATCAACAGCCAGCAGAGGGAGCAACAACACCACAAAATGAAAACTGAAAACAGCTTTTGAGAGTGAGTGTATTTTCGCTAATGCAGAATTTCCACTCTCTGATAGCAGATGTAGATGAAATCAGTGCCCAGAGATTAATATAACTCTAACAAGATATGTCTTAATTACTTGTAACCAATTCTGCCCTCAAGAAGGGACAACCCAAGCTTCATGAACTCACGCATATTGACACCTAAATCCAAAAAACATCCCTTGTTTCTCTGAGAGCTCACCTACTCATCATCCATGTCATAATTCCAAGCAACCCCCAAAAAGTGGGATTTATAAAATGAACTGTTGTTCAGACACTCACCCTTGGCGCTGGAGGGTGCGTGGGGAAGATGTGGTCGCATCATAACTGTGCTGCTTATCGCTGGAGAGGGGCTGCTGGGATGTGGGCTGGGGGTGAGATGCCTGCTTTGCTGATGGCGTGCTTACCTAAAACAACAAGACAAACAACACGTCATTTCACTGAAACAGACTACTGATATACACAATGGCTTAATCTGAAGCATGTCCGTCTATCTCACAAACAATACATGAAACAGACTGACAGTGTCAATCGTGACTGTAGGTGGATATTTAATAAATTCAAAAGACTTTTCACACCTGTTAACATTCTTTGGAAAGCATTTCACGTTCATAATTGCAAACTATTGATTTTTTCCCCCTCCTCTGACCTTTTTTTTCCCCCTTGGGAAATATTCAATATTCACTAAGCTGGGAGTTTTCAGTACCTGCCTACTATCCTACTATCTTACTTTTGGCTGTGTGATGACAGGCTGTGTGCTGAGGAGGGGCTTTAGAGGACCAGCGTTGGTCTGTGGTGTGCTGATCCTCGGAGACACATAGGACCTTGGCGATGAGGCGTCTGATGTTAATGACATTGGTGATTGGTTCGACTGCTGAGCTGCTAGACATAAACAAAACAAAGTCACTCTAGGGAATCAAAACAACTTCAAATACAACTTCTAAGTACCTCACAGGAAACACACAGGAAGCCGATGCAGTCATTTCACAGCACACATAAGAATACAGTGGTGGTATAGAAACACTTGTGTATGAGCTTCATTTACCTTGGTTGGATAGTTGAGCAGCTTGAGAGAGGATAGTAGTGATATTGAAAGCTGACGGTCCAGCAGTGAGGATCTTATGAAGCATAGACTGTAATGAAGCTTGTGTGACGGCAGCTGTGAGAACTACAGAGAAAAGAAAATGGACACGCGGTTAGAACTGATGACACGAGTCCTGCTACAAGAATAGTTTAGATACTGCACTGCAGTAAGTCTGACAGTCAAAACTCAGATGTCTCCTATAAGCTGGTTTAGAAATTAGAAATAAAAGCAGAGCCTATCAGTTGTGTGTTTACAGAGATGTTTCTGGTGGGAATATGGTGGTGATCAGTGTTATTCAGCACAAGTGATCCTGTTCATTAACAGAGATCAACTCTATGCTGTGCAATATGACACAGTATGCACGTCCATATGTCTGCTGCTTTGATTGTCAACGGCATCTCTGAATAGTGAAACCCACCTGTGAGAATATAAATGCGAGGACATAACAGGCCCTCATTTATCCCTTTTTTGTCTTAAAATATATATATATAAAAATATTTTTCTCCTGTATGTTTGTAAATGAGATGTCACACATAAGGAGAGGGAAAAATCTTAAAACTTCAGACCCACACTGCTCTCTCATCATATATAGCTCATTCACATATATTTGTAACAGAAGGTAACAGGGAAATTTGATATACATACATATAAAGTACCTTAGCCCAAGTTATTATGCTGCTACAAATACACCCCACACATAACCTGCTACCACAGACATTTGAATTATTGAATTATTGAATTATCAAAAATTCTCTACACAACCTCAGAAGCCACTGACATCAAAGACCAGGAAGTTTCTGACCATGCATGGAGGGTGTCACCCTAACTTCAGCACCCTGAGGCTGTATGCTAAGCTTAAGGAAGACTCGTGAGTGTCAGTACCACCGTCCAGGATGAGATAACGAACACCTACGAATACATCAGGAAGATGGCCCTAACTGCTTAGTGAATACCTCAGGCAGCAGAAACCCGAGAGAGAGGGGCAATAGGAGAACCAACATGGAAGGACAGGCCCCTGCATGGTATGTATTACCAGCAAATAGAGGAAGTGGCTGACATCCAGAAATCCTACCAATGCCTGGACAAAGCTGGATTGAAAGACAGCACAGAGACAATAATCATGGCAGCATAGGAACAAGCTCAGAGCACAAGATCCATAGAGGTTGGGGTCTACCACAACAGGCAAGACCCAAGGTGCCCCTGACACAATCCAGCACATAACAACATGGTACGCCATAACCAAGTGGATGGCATAGAATATAGAAACATCTGTGCAGAGTATGGCCTGGAAGTCTGGAGGTCAAAATGGAAGACTACCCCCTTAGGGTGGTTGAAAATGAGCTAAGCTAAGATCCTGTGGAACTTCCAGATACAGACGGACGAAATATTGATGGCTAACCAACCAGACGTAGTAGTGGTAGTCAAGCAGAGATGTCCATGGTGATAGACATAGCGATACTGAATGACAGCAACATCAGGAAGAAGAAACACAAGAACACAAGAAGTACCAAGGGCTCAGAGAAGAGCTTGAGAGGATGTGAAGGGTGAAGGTAACAGTGGTCCCAGTGGTAATCTGAGCACTCAGAGCAGTGACCCCCAAAGCGAGGCAAGTAGCTCCAGAAGATCCCAGGAACAACATCAGAGATCTCTGTTCAGAAGCGCGCAGTCCTAGGAACAGCAAAGGACCCTCAAGCTCCCAGGCATCTGGTAGAGGACCCAAGCTTGAAGGATAAAGACCGCCCGCAGGGGTGAGAGGGGAATTTTTTTTTATTGAAGTTCCCACTACTATGCCATGGTTTACACCATGAGCTGGTACCACAGTGACTCACACTTGTAAACATTGAAACACCATTATCTTTATCCCGACCCTGGAACCTTGGACTTGACAGAGTCTATCAAACTGAAGCAGGATGACTTCTAAGGACATCTAGCAGCCAGCATCTGGTACATTACAACACATTCTAGACTTAGAAAAGTTTGTGCTGTCGTTCCCATTTTACAATTAATGCATCTCATACCACTCTGACAGCTGAAGCTTTCCTTTCAGTGTCACATGGTCAGATACCATGTTCTCATCTAGCAAACTCTTGCCGTGAGGCATTCTTCATCCAGACATCAGCTATGCAAACAGCACCACACTGACGATGTCGAGTTAGGACTCTACTGTGCTCAGACTGACAGGACAGATTATGACAAAGCTTCTAACAACGGTGTCAGAACAAAAGCTGATAACAGTAGTTAATAATTTCAGTGCCTTCTTGTAACCAGTGGCCATCAATCACCGTCTCTGCTGCAAGTTGAATGTAGACAAGTTGAATATGTCAAGCAGCTCTTAAATCTATTTCTTCTTACCTTCGTTGATTTTTGCCATGTCCACACTGGCATTGTTGAGCTGCAGGGCAGTCTGAAGTGCTGGGAGAAGCTGTCGAAGCAGGGTGGGGTCCTGGAGGAGCGGAGGAGCTGGGGATTGAAGGACTGGAGACACGGGTACTGTAGACGCCGACGACCCAGGTGGGCCTGATGACGGATTCAAGCTCCCAGAGCCAGATGATGACTGAGACTGGGTGGCAAGTGCTGCTGCAGGCTTTTCCACCTGGGCAGACTCTGTGGAGCAAAAAGATAAAGATGCAGTGTCATCAAAGGTGGAAGTCTGAAATCCATTTCCTCCAATAATTTATGGTCCAACATAAAACACAAAACCTTAAAAAAACAAAAACAAAACAACAACATTCATCTGAAAAAGACCTGTCCAGGAACTATCGTTCACTTTCCAGCACAGGGTGATATGCCAATAAGTGCAAACAAGCCACTGTGATTGCTTCAACATTTAACACATCCCTGCAAGTGAGACACCTGGTCAAACAGTCAGCATGTGAATGCTGCATGTGGTTTTGTTTCTGGTCTTAGTACTTTAAATCAGTGTTGTGGCATTTGATCAGGCTTTACAAGACTTTCTGCTGTTCCAGCTGGATTTTATAGATTGTGTTTCAATGGAAGAACAAGCACTACACCAACACCTTCAGAGGCCTGTGCATGACTGGTTACAGTATGACTGCCCATAAACGGGGCAACAATCTAAACAAAACTGAACCCTTATGATTCAGCTTATTTTTTGTTGGTCTGAAAACCAGAATTCAGAATCTAATTTTTGTCATTTAGTTGTTTATATTAAACGTTTCACAAAGTGAGATGTTAACTTCCTGTATGGTTGCAAACATAGTAAAAATGATCACAATAATAATTTTAATAGCTGTCTTTTGAAAGACTACGAAGAAGAAGAAGAACTGTGACCAATGTCAGCCCTGAATGGGGCTATTGTATATTTGCATTACTAATATACAATAGGGTTGGGTGATTGGATGAATATATCGACTATCAACGATAGGCTGAGCCCATCGGCAATTGTTTTTACAAGAGTGATTTATTTATTTGCCCATGAGTAAGTTTGCTAATAATGATGGCGTTAATAGAAGCAGTCAACAGCAACCCCCCCCCCGAAAAACCAAAAGCGCTGTTTTAACAGCACCCTCTTTTATCTGCGAGCAAATTCACCCTCCTCAGAGTGCACCCAAATGATTGTTGATGGAGCTGCAGAAGCTGGTGATAGCCTAGCATACTCAGGCGGATAGTGGACACGTACGTGCTCATGCGCATGTACGTGCTCATGCGCATGTACGTGCTCATGCGCATGTACGTGCTCATGCGCATGTACGTGCTCATGCGCATGTACGTGCTCATGCAAGTTATGTTTGGGTACTTTGCTCGCACTATACATCTGCACAAGCGGCACACCACTTTGGTTACATCCTTAAGTTTACCTCTTTCATCCCAAATGGGCAACTTGATATTTATTTCAGTGATGTCAGCGTTAACGTGCCGTCATCATGACTAACGCGATTAACAATTAACCCATCTGGAGAGCAGGCTGAGTCAAAGTCCCCGAAACGCAACGCATTTCGGGCAGTTTGTCCAAAGTTTGTTCATTCTACGCTCCAGATGGGTTAAAAATTTTAATGGTGATGACAGCGTTAACGCTAACAGCCCCCATTTTTTGGAGAAATTAGTTGTCCATGTTTGGACTCCAGTGTTGTAAACGCGCAAATCAGTCCGTGCATGATTACATTGCTCCGCCTATCAAAAAGTCAGCGCATGCGCAAATGTATCGCCCGTCGTCGATTATTGGTTGGAAAAGTTTTACATATCGCCCAACACTAATACACAATACTAGTAACATGGACTGCTGTAGTGAAGCATGCCACTATATGATGATTTCATGTGTTCATACAGTCCTGTTCCATAACCCTCAGGATCATTTAAGAAATTCCACATGACTGTCTACTGCACCCCACCTCAACAGTGATGGCGCACTGCAAGAGACCCTACTTAGGCAGTTCAAAAACCCGAAAACATTGAAAAAGGGAAAGTTTTTCCCTTTGCCATCAGAACGTCATGACCGAAAATGACAATGAAATGCACATTTCTGCACAGATTTGGCCTTTTAAAGGCATGGGGTCCTAAACTTTTGATCAGCTGTAACACAGCCTGTTTCAGTTTAAGTGTTGTTTTCAATAAATTGGATGCTCAAAAAAATGTTTTGTCTCACTCTCATTTCTTCTTGTTGCATGTTGAACCTCTACTTGGAACCTTGTTAAGATCCAACCATGCAAATATGATTTTTTGCCATTTTTCAAGTGGTCTTTAAGTTTTGATCAGGACTGTATTAGGGCTTGAGTAGGTTCATTTTTGTCATTTGGCCAATTTAGTCTGCATCCTTATAAACAGGTTCAGCACGCTTCAACTATAACTACCTTGTGAAGCACTAAAAGGAGACTCCGCTTTCATTTTTACAGTTTTATAAAGGTGGTGAGAGTGATATACAGACGTTCATAGACTAAAAGCTTGTGATTAGCGAGCGTAGTGCTGTGGAGACCTGCGGCTGATAAGCACCAATGTGGAAACCTCGGTTTTTGTCTGACAATTATCAGCTCACAACCCATCCAGAAGCAATGACAGGCAAGCCTAACGTCACTGTTGTTCACTTTGATCTTTTAAGCGTGTGTTATGAATGCTTGTTTGTTCATTTTTTTACAAGCTGTAAGCATCCTTCATATAATTGCTTCATTACAGCCTGTTAGTTTTTGTCCAGGTAAAGACAAAAACTTCCAGGAGGTAAATTTTTGCACTGAGCAAGTGTGTGATCACCGCGCTTTAAATATAGCAGCAATTACCACCTGCTGGGTGTCTGGACTGTTAGAAAATGTTAACATATTACACAACATAACTGTGTTTCTGTAAATCAGAAAGATTTAATGAACATATCTGTCAGGTATGTCATGTACTCCTCTGTTAAGCAGGAAGCAGTATAAGGAGCGGTTATTAGATATTCAGAAACAGGTTATTCATGATAAATGACATCCTTTTCTCAGTACACCACTTCATTACATGTTTGTTTACTTTTCAGAAGATTACTACTGACAAACGCTCAGCAACATTTTGCCTGGAACTAGCTTGTAGCAGCCTTGCTTAAATTCCTATCACAATAATAGAAGACAACCACGCTCCAGGAAATCATTTACCAGATTGTTCAAACACACAGCATCAGGACCGGCCCACTCAAATAACTATTTCCATCTACACGCAGACAAGTTTTCTGTGTCATTGAGAAATAAGCCAATAACACGGGGACAATAGGCAGACTCGGCAACAGATTGTGTGATTTTTAAAGAACACAAAATCTCACATGATGGTGAACAAGTATTTAAAAAAACCTCTTTAAAACTTTGCGCATCTTTTTCATATCTGCATTTCAAATTTAAAGTGTGCACAAACAGTCATGCAGTGGTCACGACTTTGGCCTCACAGAAGGACGTCCTGGTGTTTGTGTGTTCTCCCTATGACTGCGTGGGGTCTCACCCATAGGAGGCAACTGCTGATTTGAAACTAGCTGTAGGTATGAATGTGAGCACTAATGGTTGTCTCTGCCTCTGCGTTAGACCTGTAAGAGACCAGTGAGCTTTCCTGTACCCTGCCTTTTGCGCCAGAACTGTTGTGATAGGCTCCAGCCCTCACACGAAACTGAACCGAATAAGCAGTAAAGAAAATGGATCGATGATTAGTGTGCAAAGATGAAATTATTTGGGTTCATGAGCAGCTCTAGTTGTGCAAAACAGCTTCATACAAAATAAAAACCTTCCCTGATGTTGGGTTTGGGTCTCTCTGTGAGGCAGTGTAATCAGCCAAAGACTGTTTGATGCTTCACTCTGTAACACAACTGTAGTTTATAGATGTGGCTGTAGTTCCAGCATCTCTAGCGTAAGATCTCTTCACAGTCCCTGTTTTTCCAGGGCTCAAATACATATTTATCAGGGATGTGTGTGAGTAACTGACTACTCGATTTAATACTGCTGCCCCTGATACTTGGCAAGAGAAACTGCAGTCTGTTAACCTAAATACATTTTATTAATGACTGATCTTTGGATCTAAGACGTTATACAGCGACTAGCTGTAGCTGCAGGCCCAGCAGATGGCAGCACCGGTGTAGCTATGATGGAAACTTGTGAGCATAAAAGATCATTTAGAAGCTAAAAAGTCAGATGGACCAGAGGGAAACAGAATATTCTGACACTGTCTCCATTCAAACAAAGCAACACATGTACACATTCAGCACAAACATGTGGACGCTAACCTGAAACAAAAGAAGGCTGCTAGAATTAGCACAGCTAGAGACCCTACAGCCATACTGCCAACTGATACTGCATGTGCGCACAGCATAGAGTGCATAATATTTTACACGCACAATTAGGGCTGTCCGATAGGACCAAAATCTCATATCCCAATAACTATATATATCACAATATTGATTTTTCTGTAAATTCAGTTAATCTCAGGCAACTCGACTTGTGTGAAGTGTTTTCTGCTGGGCGTTGTGTACCTGGAGTCATGTTTTGTGACCGATGCATGAAACTATATATTTTAGATATAAGTTGTAACAGCTGCCATTTTCTTTGTGAGTATTTATTACATGGCGTGCTGCCAGGAAAACCCTGTTCTAAAGTTTGAGTCAAAGGTTTATTTTGAGCACCTGACGGCTCTTTTTTGCTTCTCATCCGTAAACTTTCTCCATACTCTCTCACGTGATTCTTGCGTGGGTGGTAGAGAAAAAAAAATATTGCCGTTAACAGTGTATTTTGCAACACCACGAAACAAACGATAGTGTATAATTAGAGCTGGGCGATATAACTTTTACTCGATAGAGAAATTAAGCTATCGCGATAGACCTCGCCGCTCTTGTCCTCTTAAA